TTGCTTATGCATAGAGCTCATTGTAATTCATTCATTAATGTGCTACAGATTGTCTCACCTTTCCTTGGCTTTTCTTATTCATTTCCACCCTGCTCTTTCTCACTTCTCAAATTGTTGTGAACTACCGGTATCCTACCTTCCCCAAATGTATCATCCTATATGCTGTCTGTTGCATTGTTATGAATATGATATGACATGTTTTGCCTTGCGCATAATTAGAATGTGGAGGGGAGTGTTTCTACTTTTACTCTAAGTTTAGTAACGGTTAGGTTTTTTCGTCTGAATTGTTGTGGTCAAACTGTGAATGGGGCTGCCTCTCCACCGAAAGTTCCCCAGGGCCAAACAGTTATGTAACGGAGAAACTGTGTCGGTGGAAAATAGTTGGGAATTTATGTCGGAAAATATACGTCTGTCCGCCACTCAAAACAAATACAAGTAGTTCCAAAACCAATGGAGCAGTAAGCTTTGGGGTTACAACAAACCAACAACAGTCCGTCGGACTCTGTCCACAACATAATTTATAAACACGAAAAAACTACTCTAACTTAGTCTAAGTACTTAGAAACGTAGTCTAAGTACTTAGAAACGCCCCCGGCCCCCCTCCCCATTCTAACTTACAAAAACAGCCGGTTGAAAATCGTGCCTTGGTGCGGTTGGAACCGGGTTGGAAATGTTTCCTTCACAGCGTCCGGTATAATATAAAATTACGTTCTGGGCACGGCGGGACTGCAGCGAATAACAGCGTATTCGTGTTTGTATCTGACTGCCCTGGGAAAGAGACCGCGCTCCGCGCAAAGCATACTGGGAAGAGCCAACCATAGTATCCTGGGGACGAGTCGATGAACGATGAAAATTGAGTTTTGAAGGGTGAAAAAAAGTTTTGAAGGGTGAAAATTTGAGTTTTGAAGGGTGAAAAAAAGTTTTGAACGATGAAAATTGGGTTTTGAAGGGTGAAAAATTGACTTTTGAAGGGTGAAAAATTAAATTTTGAACAATGAAAAATTAAGTTTTGAAGGGTGAAAATTGGGTTTTGAACGGTGAAATGTAAGTTTTGAAGGATGAAAAATTAAGTTTTGAACGATGAAAATTTGAGTTTTGAAGGGTGAAAATTGGGTTTTGAAGGGTGAAAATGGGTTTGGAACGGTGAAAACTGACCCGATGAAGCCTTGTTGAAGTTGTACCTTTGGTCTTTCGTAAACTAGAGGTCGGAGATCTCATGTCTTCGTCAGAGGTACATCGTTCTAGAGAAATGAACATGCGTATTCTTTACTCTTTTTAATAATCAATTTGGTCTAAAGTACAAAAGAATCTCTGTACTCTTTATGGTACAGAACACCCTGAAACGGTTTGCCGCAGATTTAATGTACAGATGCGTCGTCACCCGTGTTAGCCGCCCCCCCCCCCTACGTTATTTGATTTTGGACTGTTACTGGAAAAAAAAACTTTCAAGAAATTCTTACTGTGTTGAAAGTGTCACGACAGTGTCGTAAAATATAATAAGAGAAGATGTTATAAAGGAAAGAATCAGAACAGGGTGACTACGTACTGCTGTTTTGTTAATTTATCTTTATGACAAATAGAAGACTTGTTTCTTGTTACACTGCGTTCTTTTATTCAATTTGTGTCCTAACATTTGTATTTCTACAGTTAGTATATTCCAAATCTAGGCATCTCGTTTTTCGGCCCTTCGTGTTTTTATTGCGCTTTTGCCTTAAATTTAAGGTCTCCAGTGGACGTCATCCATAGCAATTACTTGGTGTGGCCGTAGAAAATAACCTGACACATGTCCAACCTATCCTCCCCCTGCTGAAGTTATTATAGTACAATCCCTCAATGTAACGTCATTTGATCTCATCCCATTATGGGGTTCCCCGGCTATATCCAGCTGTCGGCTGTCTCCAAGCAGATGTTGGTGGGGGATTTCTAAACACAAAAGGTCCGCTACAGTGACAACGGAACCCCCCACGAAGCCCATTAACGAACTTAACCTTGGTCTCAACAATAGTAAGTTGCCTACAAAAAATTATAAACATCAATGTACATATACTCGAGTTATTTTGCTAACAAGTCACAAACACAAAAGGTGCACTAACGTGACGCACGGACCCCCCACGAAGCCGAAACTTGCACTTGACTTTGGCCTCAACAACGGTAATCTGCCTGCCAAAAATCATGGACGTCGAATCATGCCTGCCAGAGTTATATCGCTAAATCCGCAGTCCCCACAATGCGGCGAGACAATTTCATAGTCCTTCTGACGAAGACAACAAGGTCCTGTACACTGTAACGTATACACACGGTGCATGATATACCCTATCTGAACTAACCTTCTAGTATGATCGCTGCTAGAAAGACTGCACAAATTTAACATGCAAATGGTAAATTCAAAAACAAGGCCACAGCAGCTTTGGAATTATTTTGAGGGGTATAAAGGTGGCCAAGCTTCCTATCTTCCTATCTTATATCCTATATATCTGCACATTTAAAGGGTTTTTCACAAATGGGTGCAGTAATTCTTTGAAATAATTTGGCTATTGCGGCCTGACGATCGAGAGATATGAGGTCTATGTGGTGTGTACGTAAAACACTGCATACAGGGTGGGCCAATACTGCAACAAGGACTGTACAGTGAGTTTTGGAATCTTTGTATATCAGGATGTATTAATGCTGGAAAGTGAAAGATGTCGATGCGATCGAAACCTCTACCAAAGGTCTTTGCTTCTACATGTAAACACGAAACCTAATTGTGTGTTCAGCAAACCAGAGAACACCGAAACTGGGCTACTCAGATCAGATGGCTAATGAAAGGCTTTGTGACGGAAAGTAAAAAGTGACACACCTGTTGAGTATAGTACTTCCAAGGAGGTTTAAAATGAGACCCCCTTGGTACTTCGTAAAACAAAAAGACTGTATTTCCTATATATAGCCACTGAGAAGGATTTTGAAGAAACAGTACAGTTGAAAAAGAAGGCTGTCAGCAAAATGGGTGTGTAAGATCGATAGCGACTTTCCGTCTTACTTAATTAAAACTAGACTAATTCAATCAGTTTCGCAGTATGTTTCTGGGGTTGAAAGTAGTGTTGTGTTTTGAGCACATCATTTTTTTTTCGTGGACCCATATTGCACCGTTGGCGGTGGACCGTCCGCTTGTTGACATTGTGAGGTTACTTGTTTTCTTTATGACTTATCTCACCTTTGATAGTTCATGTGATTCAGCATCATACAGGCCGCTGTTTAAATTTGTTCCTGACTGAAACAAGTCACGTGTTTTTGTGAGCTACATGTATAACAGTTACTTATATTTGAACTTCGATCGATCAATGAAGATTGACTGTTCACGTCCGGATATCCCCCAACATGTCTAAGTGTTGACAGCGTTATGTTTTGAAACAGCAACTTGATAATTCATAGAAGTACAATCGCAAAAAAAAGGAGACTCATGGCATTAACGTTGAAATGCACTGCTATTCAGAGCTCTGTCGTTATACCAGCGGTTCTCAGTAGTCACTGCTAAATCAATGTGTGACACGGGCGGACATGTCTATCAACTTTACTGAGGGGCCCCAGTGGCGCCCTACAAAAATCTTGTTTCGAAGGTTAACCGTACTGGTATACCAAGCTAGGGAATTATTAACGTTATCTCCAAGCAGATCCCGAGGAGGCAAGACAGAAGACACTATCAGTCACCGTTGCCAGCTAGGCCGTGCCCAGTTGACTCATGACTTGCTCCTGCTGAATACGCCCTAAGATACGTGTACATTTTTAACGTGTTGAGTAAACATATTCTACGTTTGTTGATCAAGCTAAGTGTGTTGCGACATACCACATACCTTCAACGCCATCATATTGCGTACATTTGGGCCTTAAGGGTTTTACTGTTTTTACAGCAGTGCCCGAACCCACTGTGGCTCAAGCATATAGTCTACAATCTGCCATGGTACCATAAGTTTAGAGCTCGCACCTTCACCATGAAGTTTTAGAGCTCGCACCACCTTGCGCGCAGTGAGATATATAAACCCGGAAGTAAAACAAACTGTACGTCAACCGTACGGTAATATTCTTGAACCTTGTTTGGGACTTATGAAGTTTTGAATATGCATATGCCCTCTCTCATATCTTTAAATTATGTCTAGTTAGCTGTTAAGCCTATTATCTGAAAGAAGAAAGGAAAGAGGAACAAGAACTTACATGACTGCTGGTGTCGGTCGGCCTGGCCAGGCGGTAGGAAGGGCCACGGCCCCGCCATCTCGAGTTAACAGTCACCTGGCGATCTAGATCTGTACCGGATGTTGCGATGCCGAATAAGTCTCCTCTTCCCCGCGTGCCAGTCAGAATGATTCTCACCACAGGTGTTCTCAACTTTTAAGTCATACTTTCGCAGATCAATAGAGTCTGTAACCCTATGGCTGGCGTGTAAACAACACCTCCGGAAACAATGGCGTGACGTGTACCTGTGACGTTATCGAAACTAGCAGCTCTAACTAGGACCGGCGAGAACAAGCAATAACTATAATACAAGAAGAAACAGGTAGAAACTTTGAAGAAAATAGAATGACGCAGTACGTAAGCTTTCTTTTTTTATTAGGCTATTTCAGACATCCATGGCACATATAAAACATATAATAGTAGAAAATGTATTTGCCGTCGGTGGTGCAATTCTCTCCAGTAACCTACCATATAGTCTTGTGTCATAGTTACATTTGTCAAGAAGGATCTGTTTTCTTACAAGAAGCCAGGATTCATTTTGTTGACTAATCTAAATAAATCATAGCTCCGTCATATTTTTCATAGGAAACATATCAGTGACAAACAAAAAACTAAAGATAGTTACTGCATTTTTCCTTCTCAGATTATACACATCCTTGCTGTGCCACATCATGACAACATTTATTCATTTCATTTTATACATTTATTTATTTTTACCAATAGCTCACACTCCTATTTTTCAGGTGACCTTGGCTACACTAAAGCACAAGAAATAAAACAACATTAATTACATTGACATAAAACAAGTAACATAACACTTAGGATGTTGAAAGCAATTAAAGCTGAATACAAGTCCCCTTTCAGTCTGTTTTTAAAAGCTATAGTGGTGGTGTCTGTTCTATTTACAGGCTCCTGGAACTGGTCCTGAAAGAGGACATGATTGGTCGTGGTGTGTGAGGGAGGTGAGGGTCCTGTTTGAGAGTTGGTTTGCAGCAGTTACTATGTCATTGTGGGTGTACTTTTAATACTAGCAGAGACACCACTTAAGTACATGTATGTATGACAAGTGAAAGTATAATAGTATTATTGTGCTGAAGTTGTATTGTCCAGAAGAGGGATGGATGAAAGGTAAGTACTGTTGGCATCACACTCTCCACACATTAACAGTTCTCACCAATGTGTTTTGGGAAATGGTAGTCCAAGGTGGATTATCTTGCAGTAGAATATTAGTAATCACTTTGGTTACACTTGTAGCCTTTTTCTCTGGTTTTGGATTTTTAAATGTGAGATGTACACTTTAGATTTGTTCCGAATCCACACTTCCCATACATGTAGGTTTTTCTCTAGCATGCGTTTTCATATGTTGGATTAAGTTAGCTTTTCGAGCTGTCCTGTATCCACAGGCCCCACACATGAAAGGTTTCTCACCAGTGTGGGTTACTTTATGGTTGTCCAAAGTAGATTTCTTTGCTGCAGAATAGTCACACTGGTCACACTTGTAAGGTTTTTCTCCTGTATGAGTTCTCATATGTGTTGATAAGTGGGATTTTTTAGCTGTTCTGTATCCACACTCCTCACACAAGTAGGGTTTGTTACCTGCATGTTTTGCTAGGTGAACTTCCAAGGTAGTTTTCACTGCAGCAGAATAGTCACACTGGTCACATTTGTAGGGCTTTTCTCCTGTATGAGTTCTCATATGTTGTGATAGGTGAGACTTTTTGTATTGTCCTGTATCCACAGACCCCACACATGTGGGGTTTCTCACCAGTGTGTGTTGCTTTATGGTCATCTAATGAGGATTTCTGTGAAGCAGAATAGTCACATTGGTCACACTTGTAGGGTTTTTCTCCTGTATGTTTTCTCATATGTTGGTATAAGCCAGACCTTGCTGCTGTCCTGTATCCACATTCCCCACATATGTAGGGTTTTTTACCTGCATGTTTTGCTAGATGAACTACCAAGGTAGACTTCGCTGCAGAAGAATAGTCACACTGGTCACATTTGTAAGGTTTTTCTCCTGTATGAGTTTTCATATGTTGGGTTAAGTTATACTTTCGAGCTGCCCTGTATCCACAGACCCCACACATGAAAGGTTTCTCACCAGTGTGGGTTGTCATGTGGCTGTCTAAAGTAGCTTTCCTGGCTGCAGAATAGTCACACTGGTCACACTTGAAAGGTTTTTCACCAGTGTGGACTCTCATATGTATGGATAATTTTGACTTTTTAGCAGTCCTGTATCCACACTCCTCACACATGTAGGGTTTCTCAGCAGTGCTATTCAAATTGACATTTTTGTTACCATCTTGTAGTCAGAATTTTTATTTTGCTGTCATGGTTGTCCTGAGAGACACCAATGGGAGACCCATAATATGAGTTCTGACCAACGCTGGTGTGAGACCTGTGTTCGGTTGTTGCCATGTCCAACCTAATGAGAAAAGAAAGAAATAATAAAAATCAATCACAAAAGTAATGACAAGGACTGATTGAGATTACACAAAAATACATACATAGCACAATGTCTTTCAAGTTTGCTACAAACTGATCTATAATCACTTCTTTCCTGTCATATTCTCGTGTCTACATTGAAATTTCTGTCCATTAAAAGTTAGAAACATAGGTACTAGACATTCCATTATTTATGTGCCCACAGTCAAAGGAATTGGCTCTACATTGTACCTAACTATGCGTATCTTACAATCCGGGTAAAATTTTTCATTCTTCCTGATCACCCAAAAAGGCTAGTTTGGCTGATGTTTGCCACATGTTAGACGTACATGTACGGTCTCGTTGCGTCCTTGGTCGTACGTACGCTTAGTTTCGCCCCTCCCCTTTCGTTTCCACCATATTAAACATCCAGAAAAGGTCTAACCGTTAACTGTTATAGATTACTAGTACGATCTTACTGCTATCCTTTTCAAGAGAAATTGCCCCTAAGTATTAAGCTCGGCATCAAAACACTTGCCTGTCAGTTTCTATGTCTTACTTGCCTCCAATAATGGATTTCTCTTCGTGTAAATCGGGAAACTATCCACCGCCCGCCCGCGCCCGCCTTCTTGGTATGTCGAGGTCTGCTGAAACTTGGGTCAAAGGTGAAATTGTAAACCTGATTACATTTGGCGTCGGGTAGAGACCAATCTCCAAGCAGATCCTAGGGTGGCAAAAAGACAGTGTCAAATTGGCCAGGCAATATCCATTGGCCAGAGAAGGTCCAATTTGCCCCCCATGTTCTTGTGGTCGATGAATTTCGAAAAAAAAGTGCAAAACCTTGACATTATGAAGAACGTAACATTACTATCGTTACCCTTCTTGTTGCTGAAGTTCGTCTTCTCCTCACTAGACGTGGTTGATGAGGAAAGATCGTTACCTTTTTATATGTGGCACGTTTTTTTACCTTCGTTACTGAACGTTGATAGCTCTTGTGCTCGAGAGGGTGTGGCGCGAGTTTACCCCCTGGCAGGAACTATACAGGTGGCTGTTTTAAAGTCTTTGAAGGGCCAAAGCAGCTATTATGAAACTGCACACGTGAAAATCATATTCAATATTGGGCTGCGATTGGAAGAGAGTCCTGTTATTGGTACGAAAAATGCACTTTCCGTTGATTTATCACCTCATGATCAGCTGATCAGATTACTAGTACTAGTATTTTATGGCATGTATGGCTATAATGCGATCGTATACGCTTCACTCGCGCATTTAACGGAGGGGGCCCCGAGTTCGCCACTTTTTAACATAAATCACACATTTCAAAGGAAAATTCCATGAACCTCTTGATGATATATGGCCATGTCGAAAGAGTTTTTGTTAGACTTTTTACATACGTGTTACCATGGTGATTGATCGAACGTTGAGGTCAAGGGTCAACCTTCTACTTTGCGACGTAACTAGGGCGGTAGTTCCAAGGGTGTACCCCGAGTTCGCCACTTTTTATAATTTGTCAGGAAGTATCAAAATATGGATTGAAAGTGTTTTTTAGCCTTTGGATTTTATTCCTAGAGTTAACGCTTACTCGTTTGGGGGTAGTAAAACAAATACTTTGTGGCGCATCGGAACGAAACGCGCCATTTATTTGGACATAACAAGGTCGGTCCTCTGCGACGTAACTGTGGGTCATGTTCGGCGTTCCAGAGTCCAGCATATTACTGAACCATGAATATACAAGTGGGCTTTTGAGTATTTATTTGATATAATGTTACTTTTATCATGCTACCAACGTAAAACTGAAACTTACAGCTTTGATCAAGAGTCCATACCAACATCTATTTAACGGCGCATAAGTGAAGGGTTGCAATGTGTTGCGTACGCTGCTCACGGCAACTTGTTCCAGGAAAGAACGTACAGTACAGCCTACGTTACAGTTGCCACTTTGTCGCAGGAATACCCTGAAATTAACGCGGGAATACGGCTAAAATGTCCTTGGTTAGATTTGGCAGGGAGAAGCGTAATTACGGAAAAATACAGCGTGACTTTTGCGTTAATACCACGAGATCCTGCTACACTCATATGCGCAGCACGGCAACTTCAGAGAAATGGAGGGCGGAGCACTCTTTGTGGATTTCCCCGCCCCTTCTCACCGGCACGACGCGAGGTCCTACGTTTCAGCAGCACTCCCATCGGCCTGAACTGTTGCGGGCGTCCAGACACCAGCACCCGTCGAGCGGGAGCCTGGAGAAAGAAGTTGTTGTTGTTTTTTATGCTACCGTCCGGGGACGTTATTTTTCCCTACATTTTTTTTTTTTTGGTTTGTGGATGGGGGCAGTGGATTTGGTGATATAATAGCATCAAGGAGAGTAGACTACGTTGTTGTTCACACCTCCAAACTCAATTATTCCCTCTTCCTGTTTTCAGGTACGCGGTTTTAAATGAAGTACTTTGCGGCGCATCGGAACGAGAGACGTGGGTAAGTTTCCGCCGACGTAAGGGGACTGTTCTTGCCGGTGCCGCGGCGCCGCTCGCCACGTTCTAAACCACGTCAGCGCTGATTGACCGCCCATCGGTGAGCAACAAATGATCGAGGCGGAGAAGTGGGAATGGTCGGAGAATTTATGTGCTAGCGTATTTAAAATTTGACACCGAAACCAAAACAACAACGAAGGGCTGTCGGGACATGCAATTCTGAACGGAGAGAGCGAAAAAGTTCTTTAAAATATCTCGTTTAGTAAACTATTGCTCATGTCACAAAATCAAAGGAATAAAAACTTCCCAGCATGAAAAGCTTCTGGCCGCTGGCTTCCCACGTTGCGTTGCCAAGACGACGGCACGTCCTGGTCAGACAAAGCGGCGTCACGCCCACAGCAGCACGCACATGGGCCCCACCCACCGGCGGGCAGCAAAAGATTTCAAAGACTTCGCCCGAAAAACCCTATCATTGTAGGGCCATGCCGTGTACACCTACCCAGCATTTTAACGTAGTACTGGCTGGTATTGTCCCGCTACAAAATAATTTTCTGCGGCATCTATTAATATTTAAAGACATTTGTGATACGAAGTGAAAAGATTTCTGTCATTTGAACCTGTGTAACGGCTTGGATATAACATTTGTTGAATATTTCTGTGTTTCACTAGAGCCGAAAGTGCATTAGAACTGACCATCAGGTGAAGCACAACTGTCATGTTATAACGTTATTCACTACGTTACGACGATCAAGAACAATCACGGCTTGCGGACCATTTTAAATCTTACCACTCATAACCCTCTTAGAATTGCGTTAATAATTACGGGGGTATTTATTTTCGGCCGGGGTTCCACTGAGATCGGCGGCTGGCTGGCGACCATCCCGTCAGCATGACCGAACACCGCGACGTGAGTGACCTAGATTATCTTACCGTGCGTCTTATCGTTTTGCCGCAATTTCGTGTCAATATCGAGGATACACAAATGGAATACGTTCCTTTATTAAAGTTGAACTTTTATTTCCACTCGTCAACATTATCATCCGACATGTTATGCACGAATCGATGTCGTGCGCTTCAATTCTCCTTGCCGGTTTTCGCTATATTCGTCGGTAGTCGTTGGATCTGTCGTCGGGGAAAACCTCAAATAAGGTAAGCACCCCGACTTTGGCGGCGGCCTGAGACACTTTTTGTAGTTTGAAAAGTTTTTAAAAGTGCGTACTTTATTCGGACATTTACGGTAATAAAGGTTTAATATTGTTTACCACGATGTAAGACCTCCCAAACTCAGCCGGTAGCCACGTAGCTGAACACATTGGACTATGAGAAGTTTACAAACAAGTTTAGGGGAGAGAGCAGCCGCACCGATAATACGGCAGCGGCGGTAAAAGGAGAGGTTTCTCTCATGAAATGTAACTCTATGGATATTATATCCTACATATCATTCTCTTGTGTCTATAGACTCGATTTGTCAGACTATTTATAGATAATGTAACGAGATCTTACCTTTTCATGTCTCCATTCTTCAACTTCGGAAATTCGAACCACCCGAAATGAGAGCACGTTCGATCGATAAGTCAGGCGTTCGACGCCAAAAAACTTCCACAACATTACCGAAATAACTGGTTCAAACATGCACAAGACGGGAGACTTTCCCATCCATCTTTATTTTGCAGTTTCTTGTTATCTTTAAGAAGTCTTTTCATATAATATCTAGTTTCCAGAACCATTTTTTCGATTTAAAACAATCAGAGAATAGAAGACGGTCGCTGTCGCCAGCCACGCGACCCAAACGTGGTGCCCATGCCGTGCGTCCTCTCTCCCCGTTGTTGTTACGCAGATCTCCGCTTGACTAGACCTGAACAGAATACTACATGCATATTAATCTTTGGTTGTCCTAGTTTCGAAGTATCATTGAAGTAGCCCTAACATTCTACCTTTCCACGTAAAAAATAAAGGAAACACAAAGTGGCGAACTCGGGGTACAGTGGCGAACTCGGGGCCCCGAGTTCGCCACTGTACCCCGAGTTCGCCACTTTTAGTTTCATTATTTTCTTAAGTATACAGCAACGATTTTAATATCAATCTTGTGATTCTTCTAACCACAGAACATCAAAGTGTAATATGCATACACAGGCTTCTGTATATATAGACAAGCGACGATCTACGGAGAAGAAAATGGGAAGTGTGACGCGCAACACCATCCGCGCGTCTGGGCGAGATACCTGGCGACAGCGACATGCCCACGATGACGACGTGTTCTTTGTCGCCAGAATGGGGCTGTAAACTAAATATTAGATCTGGGAGCATCTAAGACATATTCCTAAACTGGGCAATAAAGATTGAGCACTGAAATATTCTGTATCTGTTACAGATCTGTCTGGCTACGATTAACTGTAAGCGACCCCTGGCGAACGTAATCCGTATGGCAACGGCCTTAGTTGCCTTCTTTTGAAGTACTCTGTACTACTAGTACGAGTATATCTTTGATAAAATCTAATTAAAAAAATGAACAACAGCAAAGAGTCCAAGTTGAAATGAAATGACTCAAACGTGCACATCAATAACAGTTTTATAAACATGACTTCACAGAATGTCATTAGTGAAACGAATAATACAAATCAAACCAAATCAACTTTATTGCTGAACAACTGTAACTGGTACAATGTATGGCAAAGAAGAAACAACATGAGTAATACTAAAATATAATTCTAACAGAGTTAGTCCATTATGATACTAAAGCTAATCCATCGTGTTTTCTGTTTTAAAGTAAGGAGTTACATTCTATAATGAGGGCCTGCAAGGGGGGGTAGTGAATACGAATTACGCAAAATTTTCGCCGCCTATTACGAATTACGTTAAAGTCTCAGAGCTGATTACGACTTTACGTTTTGCGGCCAATGTCCTATTACGAATTACGTTGATTTTTGCGGAGGCTGCCTACGAATTACGAAGTCTAAAACAGCCTGATTACGCCTTACGGAAAAAGGCTTGCAGGCCCTCTATAATACATGACGTAAAACACATTTTGTACAAGCTAGAAGAAATCAGTGCGTCTGGACTAAATAAACAAGAATCGCCAAGACCAAAACCTCCTTGATAAAACTGATACTGGATAGCACAGTTTATAACGTTGAAATGTTTGTATTTCCCGCCATGAGTGCCTTACAATGGTTATTGTGTTGTTGTCAAACAACACCCATCCTGACATCACAACAATCATGCCCATATTTGGACCGGTCGTACTACATATTCATACTACTACGTCATGGTGTGTATTTGCGAGTGACACATTGGGCTGTTCCAAAGAATTGCCAATGGGGAGAAGTAATTCCTAAACTGCGTTTTTCTTCACAATTCCATTCATCTATATCCAGCAGTACTTAATCCTTTATTATTTAAGTAAACTTTGATTCATTGTCCCATTATTTTTTTTATCTAAGATCAATTCTTATTCATTTTTTAACTGCTACCCCCATGTTTTTTCACGACTTGGAACGTCCCGGATTAGTTCTGTGTAACAGGCGAGGATGTGTGGGCGGACTGTTGTGAACGCACGCTCAAATATTTACAAATTTTTGCCGCGATTCGTCACGAGGGCGACATCCACTTCGATCGGCACGTTTCCACGGGAGTGACGGAAGCGATCTGACGGCGTCACCGCCCGGGAATTCACCGGAACGCTCGTTTTCAGCGGAGTCAGCAGTCACCAAGCCCAGGACAAGGCTACATGCGGTGTAACGTATAGTGCTGCTAGTACCCGGCCACTTCCGCAGACGAACCAGACCTCTTCCTGCCTTCCCCTCTCGGGACATCCCGCCACGATTTCTTCGTCTCGCGACTTAAAACCAGCGTGGAAAAGCAGTTTGTACAAGGTTTACAATCTGTTATTCTTTGGTTCAGTTTGTGTTTGTACTACAGACGAGGATTTAGGCCCAGCAGTGATCAGATAGACTGTCGCCTGTTCAGTGTACCGTTCAGCTTGTCTTACCTAGGCGGCACGGTGTGACGGAGGCGACCGAGAAACTTTCCCAGCGAAACTGGCGCAAAAGAGACCCAGAGTGCCCTCGATGGCGAACATCCAGGGGTTACCGGACCTCCCAAAGAGCCTGAGTGGGCTATTGAACACTCACACGGCAAACTCTTGGAGAGATCTGGAGCGACTGTATACGAAGCAGTCCATGATTCAGGACGATTTGTCCCGGTCCCAGACGCACCACATGGCACTGTTCAACGGCAGTAACGGGTCCAACGGCGCCAACGGACATGACCATCCCATCCCCGGGGCTAGGAGACGGCCCAAGCTGGGTCTAGAGGCTTCCATAGCTCTTCTTAGGAGAGAAATGGTAAGTATTGTCTTACGATGCAGCACAAAATAATCTTATTGAGGTAAAATAATGTTGAGGTTACTGAAATGTTATAGCACTTGTCTGAGAGATAATCTAACTTGGGTGATGAAATACTTCCTTGTGACCTTCCCAAGTACTAACTACTAGTATTACCAGTTATTAGAAGGAATTGCATGTCTTTAGGCACTTCCTACTTTTTGTCAGAAAGTGCAGGCCTGGACAGTTCTGAGATATAACTTGTTAAATACATTTTGTATTTTATTTTCCATTTTAAAGGCAAATAAAATACAAATGGGTTCTAATCAAAATTGTAACAACTAAACTTGCCACTAATTGTATTTGCTGAACACCTAAAGTTATATTATCAATACATGTTTTTCCGGTGAAACATACACCTGCTCCACCTGCTTCCTTTACCAAATGTAACACTTATTCAAGCAATTGTAAATGTTTATACTTCATCTATTGCTACAACACATGTTTCCCTTTTAAGACTTCCGCTTGGATGGATGGAAGCTAATGGAAAACAGTAATCTTGTATTGAATGTTAGAGCCAATAAAAGTTAGTGTAGCTGTAATTTCCTTAGCGACAATTTCACAAAGTGGGTGGTTGAAGGGGTTAGACACATGTGACCCTTCAGAACAGGGAACCCTTTGACTACAGCCCTGGGACCTCAGCTCAAATTTCTGCTTGTGTTCCTTCTTATGTTTTCTTCTGTCAGTTTTAGCAGGGTCTTGGCTGTTCCCTTGTTGTGGTTTTAATGAGTGCCATTGATATCAGCTGACATTGAAGGAGTGTGTGGCTTTGTTTGTATGACAGTTTGCTGTTGAGAAGTCCTCATGAAAAATGGGTTAGCACTTGAGAACAAGAGCGTAATATTCTTGGCTGCGTGTCTTGAATGCCGTGTGGTTTATTCAAGGAAAAAATGATGTATTGGGACATGTACAGCTTTTAGATGTTTGATCAGTCTTGTAGTTTTGCTGATCTAGGAGGGCAGGTCTTCAGGACAAAAGTTAGTAGCAGGAAGGAGAGTAATCGGAATGTTACAGAAGGATGTTGGATTTGTGAGAGGAAGTTCTGAAGTCTTCCTGTTTGCCCCATAAATGGTGTGTGCTTGTCGTTTTGCCATTGCATGCTTTCCCGTGGAAATTTGCAGAAACTCTGTGTGGTAAGAAAACACTGTAGTTTGACTGTCAATTGCATTCACTCCCTACAAATAAACCCTAAGTTCCAGTTCCCTTTTTTGTACTCTCCTGTGAGTACATGTATTTCCCCACCATACAACACAAGGAGGTTACTGTGTACTGTATAACATGTAAGGCTGAGTAAATGAGGTTCAGATGTCAGGCCTAAGGACTGGTATTTCTTGCAGCCACCCAAAGGAATTTACTCATATTAAATGTTGCTGAAAAAAGAACTGCAGGAGGAAGAATACCGGTAGCGGTAGTACTCAAATTAAAAAAGAAATCAGAGTGTTTGTTTATTGCCTAAATACAAGGTTTTACAAGAAAATGACTACATGTACCAGTATTCCACTGTGTCTTGGAGATGGGTGGCTGGTGTAATGAGTTGTAGTCAATTTGGAAACTGAGTCAGAAGACATGTAGTCCTTAGAATTTAGGGTTTGTCTGAAAAGGGACTGTCCTAACTAATTAAATCTGACATAAGCCACTCAGCAGTCCCTTCACAAGGTGATCTTATATCTGATGGGGGAGAGATGGTATCTGTCACTATCTGGCCAGTGTGAGGGCTCAGACCACCCCTGACCCTATGCCTGGAACATCCTACCGTGGTTCTTGTGATCATATAACACAGTCACTCATACATCCAGTTATATGTTCGTTTGATGTGCAGTTGATCATGATTGTGTAGTATACTACTTTAGTATAAACATAAAATAGTGTCACATGATTGCATCATGGGCAATTATGGCAAGAGAAGGTGGACAGTCTGGATTTCATTGTGTGTATCAGCTGCCCCAAAGTGAATACATAATTGGAGTTTGGGGAATTCTCAGAGACAGTATGCATGTCATGATGACAAAAATGCTATTTTGTGCATCCCCATGGGGAGGGGCCTGTCTCTGCCACCATGGTTGAGGTAGTGCATTGGGGGTGGGAGGGGAGCTAGATAGGATGATTTTCAGGATACTGTAGTAACTATATTAGAGTATAACAAGAGATACTGGTCTGTACAAAGGTTAATGGAGGATGGATGAAAATGATTTCAGGGCAAGGAGGTTGTGTCTGATAGAACTTCCATGGAACACAGGATGTGCAGGAGATGAGCACCAAAGATTTCAGTTGTTCAGGAAATGTCTAGGATTTGTTCCAGAAACATATCGCTGTTTCAAGGAAATATTTGAAATTTTATATGCATATAATTTCCATGGTATAAGTAGGTTAAATTATGCATTAGACCATTTACACAAAGAAGAATGACATAAAATTTTTTTTATTGTACCATATGTATACTACATTTGTATATTATATTTTCACCCTCATGACCCTGTTTTTCCGATGAGTACATCTTGTGCAGGTGACCACCTTCAAAGATCTAGACTAGAATTCTAGACTCATGGTGCTACCAGACAGGTGAAGAAAGTCAAGTCATGTGAGGAAGAGAACATTGTTGTTAATCCTTGAGCTGCATCCCTAAGCCCTCTCATATGGCATGTAGAAATAGATAGGAGTAATGGACCAGGTATGATAGATGAGGTCTTGACAGCAAGTGGATTTATGAATATCAAGGATTTACAGGAAAGAAGATTAGAAACCTGTGAGCTTGATGAAAGGTCTATCTACCTGCCATGCTGACTGTAAACTCTGGAGATGCCCACATTCATCAAGTGCAAAACTGGGTGCAAATGACCTGTTCCATTAACAGCCAGATGGCATGAAGCAGAGGGTATGTACCCATAATCAATTCACATGGTTGGAAGTGCTCCGTTGGGAAGAGGACTATTGTTTTAACAGCTTCGGAGAGGCCATTACACAATACTTAAGCAGAGTGGAATGTACAGTCCGGAGATAGGTATGATGCCATCCCTTGTGAATACAGCACTAAAATGGAATATCATTTTCCGTGGCACATCTTTCATCATTACTCACCGTAAATTTACTGTGGAAGGAAGACAAAGGTGTGTTCATTGATGTGACATGGTGCATCTATGAAGACCAAAAACAAATATACAAGGCAGGTTATCATAATTGCATTGTGTCCATAAAAGAGAAGCAGACGTCATCAGAATTGTAAATTGAATTCAGATGGGAAATTGCCTTCTCCAGTATTGCAAGGGCTGTTCCATTTATATTTCCCAGGGGTGGCAGGAAATTTTAAAAAGGGAAAGGACTAGGCAGTCAAGAGCAATTTGATTATT